CATCGCAGGGTCTGTACACGAGCGAAAAAGCTGCGCGAAATTGAGTGGCTAAGCTGCGATAAAGTCGAAGTGGAGCAATGGACATCATAAGTCACTAACGTCAACGACAAACAAAGACAACAAAACAACGATCCAAGTCAAGAACAACGAAAATGTGGATAGAATGAGTCTTGCGCATGCACTGGAATCGATTGATTGAATTCTGCATTTCTGTACACTGAATTGACAGTGTGTCAATGCTCGGATGTTATGGGAACATGTAGTGTGAGGAATACGTGAGACAATGTGAGCAGTACAAAGAAAGTGTTTGAACATATTGGGACTCCCAAACTTGTTTTTGGCAGCACGTGCGGAAGAGGTGGAGGGTGATGCTCACGTGTTGGAGTCTATTGCTCACAACTGCTGAAACGGCGGAGTAGGTAACTGTGCAAAGCTGGGAATAAGTACAAATATGTAAATAAGTGCAAACTGTAAATAAGTACAAAATCATCAGAAATTCTGGGTGTTCTTCGGCGCAAAGTAGTCCTGGGACGTAGTAGTGGTGGTGTAAGCTGCTGTCAGTCGTGTGCAGATGGATCTCGATGTGAGTCCATGGCATTGTTGGTCTCTGTCGCTTTGTCTGATGGTGCTGAGGCTTCTGTCATCTCGTGTGGCCGGTGCTGCTGCCTCGGCTTGGTGAGTGGTGTGACGAGGTGATGCTGCTTCTGCTTCTGGGCTCTCTGGTGGTTGAGGTGTGTAAAGAACCTGCAAGACTTGCCAGCGACCTTTGCAATCAAAAGGTGTTTTGTTGAGTGCCTTGGCAATGTATTTCCAACTGGGGCGAGCTCGCTTGTTGAGCTTGAATGAAGCCAATTTTTCGTCATCGCTGGGTTCCCACCCTCCATTGTCGGGATATGGAGGGGAGTCGCTGAGAGCTTGTTGTGGTTTAAGTGGAGGTAATGGAGATGGTGGTGGCGGTGTTGGCGGCGGCGGCGGAGGTGTGGAGGGTGAGCTGTTGAGAGAGATTGTTGTGACCGGTGGTGTAAGCTGTTGGAATCATGTGTTGTTTTGGTGTGTCTCTTGTTGTTGAGTCTTTGTGTCTTTGTGTTGTGCTGGTGAGTGCTGATGCGGTGTAGTGGGTGTGTAAGAGGGTGAAGGTTCTAGTTTACAACCCAAGTGTGATTTGCCTGTGGTGGGTGGTGGACTGCGACTGCGTGGTGGTGAAGGTGGTGGCGGCGGTGGTGGAGTGCGTCTGCGTGATCGTTTAGTAGAGGTCGGAGTGGAAATGGATTGGTTGGCAGGCGGTGGTGGTTGTGGATGTGGTGTAAAAGGTGGTAGGTTTTGAAACGTGGTGGCGATAGATGTGGCTGCTTGAAGGTGAGCCAGAAGGAGTCGATGTGCAAATTCCGTGTCCAAAGGGGATGTCATACTCGTGGTACTCTTCGTAGAACCGGTATGGCTTGTTCAGCGGTGTAGGGTCGTGCTGAATAGTTTGGATAATGTAAAATGGCTGCGGTACAAAGCAAGGGAGTGAAATAAATGTAGAAGATCTCTTGGTGCGATACAATATGTCTTGCTGAATCCAGTCTGTGCATGTGAAAAGTCTGAAATGTCGTCCGTCATGGTGACTTCAAGGTCGTATTCCCTGCATAGAGACATGCGCAAATAACATCTTGAAAATAGATGAAGGTTGTCAAAGAACGGTGAAACAGCAAAAGAATTGGAAAGCAAGCAGTGTGGGTATTTTGAGGACTTGGCGTCAACCGAAATGAAGGGTGAAAAAAGATCCTCCTGGGCTGGAAGGGTTGAATTAAATGAAGCTGAGCGGTGGCTTTGCGCCGCTTTTCCAGGCAATCCCTTCGATCCTTGAATGCTTCGGGTGTGCTACCCAGCATTTTCCTGGAGTATATTTTACAATCCCTTCGCCGCGGAGCAGCAGGTCATTCGCAGCGGATTCGCCCCCATGAGAGATTTCTGGCCATGGCCATAAGCTTTGATCGTCAAGATGAGGCCGCTGCGGTTCTTAGCCATGTTTGAAGCGTTGAATAACACTCGTGCGGCTTCGGCAACATCATGTGGCTCATAGTTCGATAGTTCGAAAGCCTGGCAAAAGAAACCTACTTTGTGGTCGTCGCGCAGAACGGATCTCACGATTTCTCCTGCTTCAAGTATGGAGATGATGTTTCCCTCTTCGCTAACATGTGCCGCAAAGATGTGTTTAATCGGTGGTATATTCAAAGCTTCTCTCCTTGTTGGAGGGAAGATTGCGGCATCGCCCCTGCTCGCAAGTGTAGGGATGGTGAGTAGTAGGAATGAGTGATGTTCATCTTTGTTGGTGTCATCGTTCCATTTCGCGTGTGTGAGAAGTTGCATGTCTGTAAAGTGGGTGCTGTTGGGATGGGCAGCGCTGAGCACTTTCGCCACGTAGGAGATCATGGGTTCATTGTGAACGTCGAGTGATTGTGCGTACTGGTTGATCCATTGGAAGACATCCAATTGGGCTGGATCAGTGGGTGGTTGAAATTTTGGAGAAGGTAGGTTGCGAGGTCGTCGTTGGACTGGTATAGTTGGTGGTACTGCGGGCGGTGGTGTTGGTGCCTTTTTGGTGGTGTGCTTGGGTGTGAAAAGTGGATTGGGTTTGAGTATGATGCCAGAGGTACGGTGGGCTGATCCTGGAGTGTGTTTGGAAGTGGTGGCAACAGTGATGCCTTTGGTGGAAGTGTGGGTTTTGTCCTGGATCAAGTCCGGTGGTGGTGATGTGTGCCTGTCAGCAGGCGTGGAATGTGGTTGTGAACTGGCAACTGATTGGGTAGCTGAGCCTCGTCGTCGTGGCAGTGGAGAGCGTGGAGAGCGCGCTGAACGAGTGCGGCTCCTGGATCTGGATGTGGCTTGTGATGGTGCACTGGTGGGAATGGTAGGAAAGGCTGAATAGCGGTGGTGTTCAGGTGTACGTGGAGGCGATCGATCTGGGTCTCGCCATATGCCTCTCGTGGTGCTGAGTGTGGGCGCAATGGATGGTGTCGGTTTTGTTGTGCGTGTCAGCTGGGTGGTGGTGGAGGGTGAGCAGGTGTGTTGTTGGACGCTGAAGTGGGCTCAGTGGGAGCTGGTTGGGTGTGTGGTGAAGCGGATGTGGCCGGCTGTGGTAAAGCGGTTCCTGTGGGAGTAGTGGTGTGTACTGGATCTGTTGAGGGAGGTGACGGTTGTGGTGGTGGTAGTGACGGGCTTGTGGAGTGTGGTGCATGTGGTTGGGGTAACTGGGTTGGAGGTGTGTGGGCGTGGGACTGCATTGGCTGTGTTGTGGGTAGTGGAGGCGGTTGTGGATGGTGGGTGTTGTCAAAGGGAACGGTAGGTTGTACTGGATAATGTGATGTGTGTAGCGGATGTGGCTGCATATAGTGTGCTTGAGGTGGAAAAGTCGTGGGATGTGGATAACCGTGAGGTATTGGATGATGTGATGGAACTGGTGGCAGTGTTGGGTATGGTTGCGGCGGAGCTTGTGGTGGGTAAGGGAACCAGTGTGGCTGTGTGGGCTGTGGTTGTGGCTGTAGGTGTGGTGGTAGTGAATACGGCCAGGGATACGTCATGGCTTCTCGGCAAATCGAATGAGGTCGATGTATGGATGTAGATATGTAAATCAAAGCAGTCCTTGAACTTGAACTTGAAAAAGTTATACGAAAGAATACAATATGATGCTGCAAAGTGGAGGAGTGTGCAACAGACTCTAATTAAATCTCTAAAATTGAAAATTGAAAAATTAATATGGGAAGGATTCTCAGGTGAAACTGATGCAGTCAAACTCTGCAGTATATTTCAGTGTAAGTTCCAGTGAACTCTGCAGTAAACTTCACGTGTGACGGGTGAGACGATCCAAGCAAGCTGATTTCGAGCAGGAAAATTCGGTCGAGTGAACTTCAGTAAAACTTCAGGAAACTTACTCCTGCGATGAGGAGTGAAAAGGTTCTTGCAGTAACGGCGCCCCGCAGGGATCACACAGCTGACCACAGTGGGAAGAAGCTGCGGAAACACACTTGAGAAGGTTGCTCCGTGGAGCTTGTCTTCAGTCGGTCCGCGGTGAGCATTAGCACTTTACAATCACTGCAAATTAGACCTTGACTAAAAGAAAGTGCTGAGTCGGTCGACCAGAATGTTTGAACAAATCGTTGAGGAATCAAGTGAAACAATTTGGCGGGTACGTGACTCCAGCGTCCCGGAGTCATTTCACAATCTCAAACCACCGTCTTCGTTGGGCAGTGGATGGAATGAGATTCACTGCCCCCCTGCTGGTGCTGTACAAAGGTTCGTAAAGTCATAGGAAAAGAATTAGCTAGATTAGTGTCCTTGGAAACAGGAGTGGACACACACACACACACAGCAGCACACAGCAGCGGCACCAGCGCCCAAGCTCCCGCGCGCACACAGCAGCAGCACACAGCAGTGGCACCAGCACCCAAGCTCACACACGCGCGCAGCAGCAGCACACAGCAGCGGCACCAGCGCCCAAGCTCCCACGCGCACACAACAGTCGCACACAGCAGCGGCACCAGCGCCCAAGCTCCCACACACACACACACAGCAGCGGCACCCTGCAGCACCCAGGCTCGAAAGCGCACACATGCATCTCTTGCTATACTTGAAGTAAGAACCCCAATAGCTCACGCTATCTGGGGAAACACCTCTAGGGCTCTCGACCCAGACCTTCAATTCTAAGCCTACTCCGTCACCACTAACACTAACACCTACCACCAATATCACCACCACGCCATCCACTGCCCCCACCATCACCACCACAATCACAACCACCATCTCCACCACGATCATCACCACCATCGCCACATCACCACCACCGCCACCACCACCGCTGCCAGCGCCACCACCATCATCATCATCATCACCACCGTCACCGCCACCATCATCACCACATCACCGCACCGCCACCACCACCGCCGCCGCCGTGTGGTGGGCCTGTGTTGCAACCTGCTCAGCATCCCTTGCGTCTGCGCACTAAACATGCCCCAGCGTGCATAATGCATACTCGGCTTGCCACCAGCATAAAGCGCTGCGTCCACACGCACACCCTCGCCGCTAGGCTCTTGATACTTGGAGACCTCATTGCCACCTGCGAAATGAAGACTGACAGCGAACTTCATTTTCTTCATGGCGCAAAGTGATCAAGGCTTGTCGCAACATGTCACAACAAACTTAAGGTCAAACAACCTTTGAACTGCCTGGTGCCAGTGAGACTCGAGCTTGGATGGCAAAACCTCGAAGCTTGGAGGCTTCCAAGTCAGCTCCTGCAATTGCTAGTCCGTCCGCCCGCCCTAGCTCCTTGGGGTATTGAATGGGACAATGTCAACAGCACATAAAAAGGCAACGTATACACTTAGTCCAGCTCCATTTTTTTGGATTTCTATTTTGGCAAAGCCTGAACGACACAGAAGTCGTCGGGGGAAAGGTCGTTGGCGTTTGCTGAAAAATGTTATAGCCCACGCAGCGTGTCTTAAATATGGGACCTCCGGTGTATCACATTCATGACCCATCCGTATAGAAACGTGTTGAAGATATCGCAACATGACATGGCAACTGCACCTGCAAGTTTACTGTACCAGTATCTCGAACATTCCGAAACTTGGGGCAGTCTAGTTGCCTATGACTGTAACTATTTGCACACACCATTGTCAAACTCCATTTGGTGGCTTGTGAAAATGGTTGTTCTTAAATGCGACGCCAAATCGCACTTCCATGCGCCCCGCTTCATGTTTGCAAACAAACCCAAACTGCTCTCCAGATGTGGGCTTTGACTATGTTTCCTGAAAACAGTTACCGCAAGAACTGTTTTCCTGCTTGCGCTGTCGCGAAAGGACACCAGAAAACATCGCGCCCACCAGCGATGCGCTCCCTTCGATAATAGTGGAAATGGAGTGACCTCGCGGGAGTGAATTTCGCCGTGCTGCGTGGTGCCGACTAAATGAAATCAGGCGGCGCCGCGCCCCATGCTTTGACACCGCAACAACACCCACAAAATACTATCGTGCCGCGAAAAGGGACTACGCTACGCATTGGTGCATCTAGCAAAATTTGCATCGCGCCACATGTATGAGTTCGACTTCTGAGCACAGGCACGACTGCCACAGTCGCAACTTTGCCTGAGGCTTGTCAAGGCAAGACCCTCAAGAGCAAGTCGCTGCATTCAACGCCCGTCCTCACGAAACGCTGCGCCTGCGCAATAGAACATCCTTCACTCTTGAGCGCATCACGGCATCACGTTCCTACGGTATTCACACAAATCGGACGCCTGTCCATCCATCCAAGACCAATTTTTCCATGCGCTTCCCCCAACAGATTTTTTTTTTTGCCGAACGCAGGTTGTTGCGACGACAATGCGACTACAACACGGCGAGACCTGGGTGCAGCCTCCACCCCAGACTATAAACAGGAACTCTTCGCTATGCATTCTTTTGTATGGTTCACAAAAGTTAGGACGTCTGATGGACTGGTTGATCCAGAACCTTGAATTTCATTATAGAAGCTCTATCTTCAAGAGGCCCGAAGTTGAGTTTGACCAATTGGGGATCTGCGCGGAACTGCTGATGATCTTCTCCGCTCGAAGCGCCTGGGCCCAAGCTGAGCTCCTCTAGCTTGAAGCCACCTTCATGAATCCGTGAGAGGTCTTAAACTTATGTTTGGGTGAGGACATGATGACAAACAAGAGCCAAATATTCTGGTCACCGATCAAAGAACCATGCTTTGCAAAAGGACCAAGAACACCTGCGATGCCCAATTGCGTCTTGACAATATCCACATCAGTGGCCTGACAAATTGGAAGTTGGCATAACACTCTCCGGAGATTCTCAACAAGAGTACATCTGTTTCGGCCTCTTCGGTGATAGTGTGTTCCACCTGGATTCGCGGGTTCACCTGTCACGCTTGCGATGTGTAAACTCAAACTAAGCAAAGATTCAACCGTTTATTGTGGAATGTTTTGTTCAAACCTAACGCGTCCAGAGCGCCTCCATAAACACGAAGCGCGCATCAGGATCTTGAAGGCTGCCAGCCACCATGAACTCCACAGTGCCCACCTTCAGCATCGCAAAATTCACAGTCAATACAAGTCTACATTGCGGGGGCTTGACAGCAAAGACTGGACAATAAGCTTGCGTGCAAAACTGCACTCCTGTGACGAAGCTCAAGGCAGGGCACTCCCCGATATTGACATTTCAGCAGCAATCGCACAGCGCATTCGGAGATCCGCTTCCGTAGCCTTTCCAGGAGATGCAGCATGACCAAAGTCTCATGACAAAGTGATCCTCAGCATCTACATTAGTGTAGCAACCTAGCACCGAATCAATACTGTACTCTTTCCAAGGGTTCCCCTCCAGGATTGCTGCTTAAATAGCGCATGTGTATATGACATATACACAGGTAAGGAGTTCATGAATGCAGTCGCCACAAGTCACGCTTATCACATTCTATGTCAATGTGCCCTCTTCGTTAGGTTTGGATTGCTTGGGCGCCTGTGAAGAAGGATGAAAAAGGTATGTGTTAATTAATGGTTCCTTTCTAAGACATACCTGAGGGGCAAGGTGGCAAGCAGCAGGCAGCAGCTACACGCTTGGGAGATCGGGCAGCAGCAGGCTGTAAGTGGAAGGCAAAAAATCGGGACTGGAAACAACTTGAGGAGACACGGTTCGTGTCTTCTGCAACACAAGGTCGAAGTCTTGAAGCAGATAAAAACTAAACAAGGCATGGTTGGAGGAACGAGATATGCAGCACTGATTACCTCGCAAACCTGTGGATACTTCGACCATGTTCAGAAAACATCAAAAAACACGCGCCCAATTCCACACGAGAGCTCAACAAATGGACGTTTTTCAACACAGAACGCTCCTGACACGATTGGTGGCAAAACTACACCTGCAACTTGGTCCTTCGATGTGACTTGGCACTTGAAAAATCACTTTGAACGTCTAAAGGCATTTTCCCACTGCACAATGGAAACAAAGGACACCCTCATCCCAGCAAACAAAAGGCCACGGCTTCAGAATGTGCCACAAACTAACTGCGCTCTGAAATCTGCTGGCTATCATTCCTGACACACTCGATTCAGTCAGGTGACGTTGGATGAATGCGCGCAGGAGCCACTTCCACCACCTTGTGAAGCGGTTGAAAACGCGTCTGGAAAACCTTATCGACCAAAAAAGAACACCCGTTTGTGGAGCAAAGGCAACTGAGTGTCTGCAGGCATGCTGTTCCCCATGCAACTTGAGGGCTCTTGAATTTGCAACCGCCAGCTGATGTGCCGCCTTCTGGTTACGGAGCTGCACACTGCAATCCCGTTCATACAAATGAGCGCAACCCCCTTGCCCATCGGCAAGGACTTGAACCTGCGCATCCAAACAAAACAATTGAAACAGAACATTATGCGTTGTTGCAAGCTGCATGATGCATGTGTTCGGGGTGGGGCCTTGCCTCAATATGCCGAGCATCTTCCATGAACTCTTCCAGAAAGACCTGCCACAAGTAGACACGTTTATATAACTATGTGAAGGTGTCAGTGTTTCTGTTCATCGCCGAGCGCGGGTCTGAAACTTTGGTCTCACGCGTGAACCCTGGTAGATAATGAGAACACTTTGAGCCTCAATGAACCTAGCCATATCCAGTTGCAGGGTGGCGTCCGATCGCTCTAGCAGGGGACTTGACATTGGTGCAATCTTTCCAGCCCAAAAAACCCTCAGATTCCCTCAATATCCCTCAATTATCATCAGCTCCAGACATCTTCATACCGAAATAGTGCCAGCCCTTTTCAACCGTTTTGAAACACACCCTAAATACCCTAATAAACGTGTTCCGGCTGCAACCTGCAAATCGAGATCTGAGCATCAGGCGGAACCGTTACCAAAAGCCGTTTTGGCCTCGCTGGTGCAGCGCCTCAGCAAAATTTGGCGGAAGGCAATCTTGGCAAAGACTTCGAGGCTGCTAGAATATGCATTTCTACAAGCAGGATCTTCCGGGTGATATTTCTTTGCACCTGGAGAAACAAAGGCCACTTGACCTCTGATCTGATATGTCTTGAGATCTTTTTCTCTTTTGCGTGGGCAAGGGAAAAACCTCTTCAAGTTGGCTCAAACTTTGGTGAAACAAGCAACCTGTGATTTTGGGTTTGGTTTCATGAAACCAAGGAAATGCATACACATAAACACATTTTGTGGCAAGCTGAAAAACCTTTTTGTCTGAAAGCAAGGCGGCAGGCTAGTTGCGGCTAGTGGTATGCACACAATCAGAAGTAAGTCACACTGCAGGTCCAAACATCATTGCTCTTATTCCCAAATTATTGATTAGTGCTGCAGTTGCAAGCCGTTCAAATTCAGTAAGTAGAGCTGTCATCGCTTGGAAGGCCCCCCACCCAGCTAATAAACAACACGAGGTTTTTCAAACTTCGTTTTTGGAATTCCGTTCCTGAGTAAGTGATGCATCCCAAGACAACTTGCGCATAGTCTGATACAGCAAAACATGTTTTTTTGGTTAAGCGATGTTAAATGATTGGCTCGACAATGTCTCAGCAGGCAAAGCCAAATGGAGGGTGTGTGTGTGGATACATTGAGGTTACCTATTGGTGTTAAAACAGGGGGGACGGTTGACTCCCTAGTCACGGCAAAGAAACTATGGACATCAACTGGATGGAAGTTTGGTCGCAAACTTCCGTACCTGTTTAATGTTACAACTCCTTGTTAAGATTGTTGCACTTGAGTGCAACTATTTGCAACTCAGTTCAATATATTTGGAGCGACAATGTAACTAGATGCAACTTGCACTTGAATTTTGAATGTATATAGCTACATGCAACTTGCAGTTTAGAGTCTTGACTTGTGTGAACCACTTGCAGTTTTGAGTCTAGACCTGTGTGAACCGCGAGCGATGGCCTCCAACCTTGTAGCCATGGCCTCCAACCTAATAACGAAGGCCAGAACACATTGCATGCTTCAACTTCAACTCTGGTTGTCTTAGTTTTTTTAACTAAGGCTGGCATGTGGCAAACGGCAATCAGTTCCGTACACATTTTTCGAGTGTGTCTGGCTTCACGCCAGCACAGGGTGTACCCGAAGAGTGGCCTTGCCAAGCAACGGTTTGCCTCCTTCCCCCTCATGTCCGAGAACGGAGCAGCTCGCAGCGAGCGTAGGAGGGTGGAGGTTGGTTAAGACTTGACGACATGGATTGAACTCGAGATCTCTCAAGATCTCTTGGGATCTGTCCCAACCTTATTTCACCTCCCTCTTTCTCTCTCCCTCCCCTCTTTGGGGCTTCCCTGGATGTAATACCCAGACTATCCACGGTTTCTTTCTTTCTTTCTTTACTATCTCTTGGGTGTGTGTGGAGGCAATATCCAGGCGTGCGTCCTTGGACGCGTTTGTCGTAGCTGGGAACACCTACCCCACTTTTTCATTCTTTCTCCTCCTCTTTCTTCCCTTTTCGCTTTCCTACGCGGGTTTCCCTGGATGCTTGCGTCCTAGCTGGGAACCCTTCTCCTCCTCTTTGGTGTTTGTGGACGGTTGGGTCGAAGCTGAGAGCATCATCGTTTTCTTTCCTTTCTCCGCTTCCCTTTCTTCTTTCCTTCCCCTCCTTCCCTTGTGCGCGGCGTGTTTACAAACAAACGCGGCGTTTACAACAGGCTGTTCGACGAGGCTTGGCTGCTGTTCCCTTTCATCTGGTTCCCTCTTCACTGGCCCCCCCCACATACTGTCTCCCTCTTTTCTTTGATGTCCTGTCATCCTCACCCTTTTCTGCTTTTGCGCGCGCTCTTTCTTGTGCGGGCCCTAGTTTGTGCACACGCACGCGTACCTTCTTCAACAAACTAACTAGGCTTCAACAAACTAGGTTTGGCACAACGAGGTTTTGCTCATCGGTTGTCCCTCTTCACCTGGTTCTACCTTCATTGGCAACCACACACCTTTTATCTGTCTTGTCTTGTTCATCGTTCATTCGCCCCTTTTGCACGCGCATGTGCTTTGGCAAAGCCCCCCTTTCCGGGTAGGATGGGGGTGCCTCCTTTCCGTGCAGGATGGAGGCCACACATATGCCTCCCATTGAGAGGCGTGTGTGTGTGTGCCCCTTGTAGTCACAGGGATCCAGTCGGATTGTGTTTTTCTTTTTCAGCAGGGGGACTGCCTGGCTTGTACCAGTGGCAGTCCAACGAAGAGGCTGTTACAAGTCACTGATATGGATTCTGAACGCAGAATCCACGTACCTGCTTGGTTGTGGCGTTGACAAGCTTTCACTCCAATCTTCTCGTACAGGGCTAATGCACTCGGCAGTCATGAGCGTACGTCGTCAGCCTGTTCGATCCGCGTTCGTCGATTGGTTTCTTCCACTTTGGGCCTTTTCTCCCTTTGAAGACCTCCAGGCTCCGATGGTCCTTACCGGTACTCTTAGGAAATGGAACCCGTGTGGCACCGCTAGCAGTTCAGTACACCCTATCCTAAGTGTGTGTGTGTGTCACCCCCTGTCTCCAAGGGTTACTTCCTACCAATTGTACTGCCAAGCAGGGGCACTGAGCACTCCTTGGCAAACTCAGTGCAATGAAGCTATGCCTTGGAGTGGGAAGCACGGATTGATCACCCGTGTGTACCTGCAACAATTTGGAACTGTTGAACACGCTGTCCAATTTGCTCTTTTTGTTTCCATGGTTCTTCATGCTACCTACCCCTCAAACCATTTTCTTTCAGCCACTTTCAGCAGCCGCGCGTCTTGCAGCCTGTCACCGCAGTTGTGAGAGAAACGTGTTTCAATCGCCTTCAAGTGATCGGACGCTCCACCTTGCCGTTCTCTCACTTTTTTTCCACCTGGGAACTGAGCTAACTGCAAACCAATGTCAGAGTGTGAACCGCTCAGCCGTCCCACTTGGGTGCTGGGTGTGATCCTCCGCAAGGAGGTGCCGTTCTCATTCCGGAAATCGTGTTACTGAACCATCGTCTTTTCATCGTGGATCACGTCAACAGCTTCTGTTTCACTACCGCCACTGAATTGTCCGAATCTGTGGCCGCCGGGCTTTCACGGATAACACAGCCGCCGGGCTAAAAAACGGAATTCAACTCACTTGAGGCAGGTTTCCCAACCCCCCCCCCCCCCCGGTTCTCCCCCCTCCCTAATTAGGGTAACACAGGGAAATGGTACTCGACACACTTGTGTGCCGGCGCCTTTCCCTTTGTTGTCCCTGTTCTAGTCTTCTCTACCCGGGCGGTCTAAGACCAAAGTCCCGCTCCCTAACTATTGCATTTAATTCACTTCCGCTCAGTAATCAGTAATTCTAGAGTGCTAAGTATTCATACACACACATGGACACACACACACATGTACATACACCTCCCTGCCCCCCCCGCCCCGCTTTCTTTCTTGCGCTTTTGGTCGTTTCTTGGGCTTTCTCTCAGGCTCTTTAGGTTGCTCTTGAGGCTCGTTTCCCTACCCCAGTCAAGGGCTAAGTATTCACTTTTTTCTACTCCTACCTTTCTCTCTTGCCCTCTTAGCGCTGCTCTTTCTGTGTTTCTTTCTTTTGTTTCTAAGGCTTTTTAGGTAACTATTCAGGCTCTTCGCACGAGCGCCGCAAAGCGGCACCGTGTGTGTGTCACCCCCTGTCTCCAAGGGTTACTTCCTACCAATTGTACTACCAAGCAGGGGCACTGAGCACTCCTTGGCAAACTCAGTGCAACGAAGCTATGCCTTGGAGTGGGAAGCACGGATTGATCACCCGTGTGTACCTGCAACAAGTTGGAGCTGTTGAACACGCTGTCCAATTTGCTCTTTTTGTTTCCATGGTTCTTCATGCTACCTACCCCTCAAACCATTTTCTTTCAGCCACTTTCAGCAGCCGCGCGTCTTGCAGCCTGTCACCGCAGTTGTGAGAGAAACATTTTTCAATCACCTTCAAGTGATCGGACGCTCCACCTTGCCGTTCTTTGACTTTTTTCCACCTGGGAACTGAGCTAACTGCAAACCAATGTCAGAGTGTGTGTGTGTGTGAGTGAATACCTTGGAATCAAAGGTCGCCTATTGGTGTTAAAAGCAGGGAGTGACGGTTGATCGCCTAGTCACGCCAATGAAGCTATGGAAATCAACTGATGGAAGTTTGGACGCAATGTAACTAAATGCAACTTGCACTTGAATGTAACTAAATTATATAACTTGCAGTTTTGAGTCTAGACTTGTGTGAACCGCTCGTAAGTTTTGAGTCTTGACCTGTGTGAACCAAGAGCGATGGCCTCCAACCTAGTAGGTTGTAGCCTTCCAACCTTGTAGCCATGGCCTCCAACCTAATAACGATGACCAGACCACGTTACATGTTTCAACTCTGGTTTTCTTAGGTTTTTTACTTAGGCTGTCAGGCTGGCGTGTGGCAAACCGCGAAGTTAGTGCATCAGAATCAAAAATACATTCCACGAAGTTCTGGGAGGTTTGTGGCCTTTTGTTACGGTTAGTTTTCATACTGGCGAAACGTCCACGAATATGCAGCCCAGAGTTCCAGGAATGTCTCGCGCCTTCCACGTAGTTAGTAGAATTGTTTTTTGCAAGAGATCTAATCCTGAAAGCATTCTATCTTTGCAAACTTGCGCATGCACTGACCCTGTTCTGTTCTAGGTAATTCCCAACGTAGCAGTAGCAGTAGTAGCTGAGGAATAGTGCTGCTTACGGATGGTGGAACGAGATATACCTTTGAGATCCTTTGAGCGGTTTGGCAGAATGCAGGATGCGACGCGGTACAACCATTGTACAGCATGGCCCGTCGGAGCATCAACAAGGCCACGGCTCGTAGGCTTCGTTCAGCTCGTCGTCTTCCCGCACTAGTCCTCGGGTGTCCAAAAATGTGAACATGTGTTCATCCAAGGACACATGGTAGTTTGGATTTGTTAAACAACTCGCAATGGCAAGCTGAAACACAAAGAGACTCTAATTTCGCCATTGTCAGTCCCAAGATCGCATGCCACGGCCACCGCCACCGAAGGCAGCCTTGAAAATAATTGGCAGCGGCAAGCTCTCGCGCTCCAAGAATTCCCTCGCAGCCACCCAGGAGCTCAGAAAAGGTGATCCTTTAAGAACCTTTGAGGCGATTGCGGATGTCAAAGCAAGGCATGGTTAAGGCCAGTTTATGACACCAAGTGCCAGACCGGCACGTCACTGGCCATTGCCAGCTCCCGGGCACGCACCTAACACAAACTGGAAGGTTGTCACAGAGTTGATGGAGTCAACTCTGGCGGCACCTTGTCTCCAAGCAAGGCGATTGTCTCCGGGCGCGGACCAATGAAGGTAATTCCTGCGTCCTCAGTTTGGCGGATAGAACTACGACTACCTGACTACCTGCGTGCGCTCAATTTGATCTGGGTAACGGAGATGTCAGCTGAAGTAGAGCCGTGTTTGCGCGATGTTTGCGCATATCTTCACCATTTGCAACCGCTACTCTCGAGTATGCCCAAGTGTGACCATATGGCCCCCCACCATTGGGGAGAGAAGGTCTTGGATGATGGATGGATGGAGCCTTAGACCTGGACCCCCCCCAAACAGCACACACTAAAATATTGGGTGCAATTTCAAGGCTTCCTCTTGAGGTTTCAAGTGACAAAATCATATAAACTTCAAGAAAGACAACAAAACAAGAACTGTTCAAGCTTTCGAATGCCGTTTGTACATGTTCGCCTCAGGCTCGCCTCGCAGGCCGCTGCGAAATCAGCACTTTCGGACAGAAAGCCATAGCCCGGATGCACCGCTTCAGCCCCGCTACGCCTTTTCGGCTTGACATTGATGAAGCAGCTGGTAGAGAGGGGAGATTGGCACATTGACCGATGGTCTTTCTTTATTGCTGCCATCCAGATCTGTCCCATTGAGAATCCAAGAGCAGAAGTATGACTACTACATTGACTGCCATTCAGTTAGTGCTACTGACCACATCATTAAGATGCCTTTATGCACTGGTTCTCGCAGAGGCACGGTCACATGAAGATTAGCAAAGCTCTCAGAAAGGCCTCTTGTTCAGCAGAATTGTGGCAGTGGGATCTTGTTCAGCAAAGCCGGGCTTCCCAGCTTTGCAGCTTCCACCACGCTCTGCACGTCAAGGTAAGGGGCGATTGGCCCAGGCTTGGACGAGGTCACCTCGCAAAACCAGAACATGATGACGTGACGACGGCTTGAGAATACCTGACAAAATTATACAAAGAACCAGGGCAGTTCCTTGGATTCTCAAGAGGGCATGCAAGTGCATGACGCTTTGCAGGAACATGACGACAGCGTAGGTTACGCATTCAGTCATGGAACAAGATCGAACAGTAGCAAGGCCTTCCTTGATTCCTTGACGATGTGAATGATGGTCAGGCTCTATTCTTCACAACGTTTGTTTCATGTAGACACACAAAAATGATTGAGCCCCGAACAAACCAAATTAATCCAAAATAACCCCATACACCACCCTCAATTGGAATTCGTGCATTGATTGTTGTATGGTCTCTTTTCAACTTGCCAGTCCTCCTCTATCAACTCAAAACAAACACAGGTCTTAAGGGAGGTTCACATGTAGGGGATGTACGAAAACCAAGTCAGATGCTCCCAACTGGTCTATGTACAGTATATCTGATGCTCTCCTCACTATCCAGGGTGTGGGATCAGGCTGTCACATAGAAACCAAACCCTAGCCATGGCTTCAGACAGGCATACAGCGCAAACGTTGCCTTCAAAGCCTCTGTGACTCGTTGGACATGCAGGGAACTTTTGTCCTCCTCTGCATAGATTCCGACCTTGTGGAAACAATCAGCACGTATCCGGTTGATCACCTTCCCTCTGTGCAACATGACATAAACTCCATCAAACTCCTTTCAATCGGAAAAAACTAACCAAACGCTGACCTTTGAGATTTGATATGCCGAGGACCAAACTGTTGTGAGACCTTCTTCGTGGCAAGCCTCATTTTCACGCAGACTTTTACCAAGATTGACCATACTCTATGGCCCTATGGTGCCCTATGTCTGCTCAATGCGCCTGCCAAAAGCAGTCGTGTCAACTGAGTTCCCGAGCGCGTGCCACACGCACTGCAATCTCACCACGGTTTGCAATCAGCACCTCCCGTGGACGGAGGTATCAGGGCTCACCAACGTAGTGACCCTGTGTCACAGTACCCAAAGGATAGGTCAGAAACGGCTGCAGTGAAACTTGCACAAACATCTACCATGACATGCAGCTGGTGCTACATCTGATCATGCCTCCCGAGTTTAACATCTCCCACAAGTTAAGCGAGTCAGGATTAGTGCAAAGAGTGAACTAGCTAGAAGCCCTTGAGTACATCTTGGCCATGAAGAAGTCCCTACTCTTGACTCAAGGTCTCAGTGTGAGTTGATGCTCACCTTCCCAAAAATGGAAATTCATGCCTCTCATGGCAGTGCTCTTCTTCTCTTCGGCGACGGCCTTCGTGACTACATCGGCTAACGTGTGATCAGTGCCTGCTTTCTTGAGGTGAAATTCCTTCTTAGCCGTGCGCGTATTGGGTGTCCACGTGTTTGGCACGTCCCAGGCCCCGACGCCTTCCCATAGCTATTCCAGCAGAAGCGCACTTCTTTGTTGGGAAGTAGGCCCCATCCTTCGCAGTTGGCGCAACGTCGAGCTTTTGACATGATCCTTAAACAAGTCCATAGTACTCTAACTCGCCGCTGCTAAGGGACAACGCCTTGGCCCTTGCTGCGCACCGTGAGACATTTCTCGGGCATGAGTACGCCTCCTGATCCGCTCTTTCGTGTCCTTATGCGCCCTGCATGGTCGGCGTCTGACCACATGTTGAATTGGTCGCAGGCGCTTCTAGTCGCTTCAGCGTGTTCCAGTGCGTTGAAGTTGGGCTTCGCAGACCCACCAATTGAAGGCGTGGCTGTTTGAAGGTCAGGTCTGTCCTGCGCCAAGTACGCTGCTCTCGTTGCTATGCTATACATCTGTACATGCTGGCGTCTTCAGCGCTCAAAAAACCTCCTCATGTTGCAGTTGTTGCTCTTGGCTTGGCTTGGCCAATGGTGGCTTGACCTTTCCTGGTTGAACAGTACCTGGCCATTTGATGATCAAGTGTCTTGGGTCTGGTCGCCGCCAAACGCCTTCATTCGACCAGGCGATGATGCGGTTCAGCGCTCTGATCTGTTGGCTGGCTTTTGGTGTTCCAGGTGGGCTGAGAATTCCTCGTTCCACAACTTGCCATTCTTCTGCTGCTGATTTGCAAAGTTTTGTGAAGCAATTTGATGTTTTCAAAACTTCCGACTGGTGCTCTCAGTTCATGGGTGCGTCTCTAGTGCCATACAAGCTTCTGACCAATCTTCCAAACACATCTCCATCTTCTGGCTTCTTGCCTTCTGAAGGAATTTCAACATAGAGTTCTCGTGTTACTTTAGAGTAGAAATGCTTTCTCTTGACAGCAAGAAATCTCAAATAAGATTGCTTTGCTTTTCTTCGCTCACCTTTCTCCAATGGAAGGCTGTCGCTGACTATGCAAATGTAAGCAGTAGCTTCAAAGCTAGCGCGGCTGCGAAAAATTCGCCAAAGCCTGTGCCTCTCTTGATTTCTTGCGCCGCTTATCTACTCCTGTAGAGAGGGTTGGCTTCATCTTGCTTATTCACATCAACAAATGATCTTGGCTCCTTTTGGACCTTGGTTTCTTGGGAGCTTTTCCCCGAATCCCATGGATTCGACAATGTCGATCTCATCTTTCCCTGCCACCTTCTCAGGTACAAGTTCGTTGCCGCTGATGTTATCATAATACCGCCAGTCTCTGGCTTCATCAGCCATTTCTTCTGGCAATGAAATCTTCTCTTCACACACTGGCTTCATCTGGCTTCTCTGCGTCGGTGCTGGAGCACTCTCTCTCTCTCTCTTCTAAAATACGGCTTTCTGATGCCATTTCTATGCTCTGAATGTCTCTTGTTCTTTCTGATTCATCTTCGCGTTCGCCTTTCTGCTTTTCTCTTCCTGTCTCTGTCTATTCTTGCTTTTGCAGTTGGTGAACCTGCTGGTTCTTGTTGCGCTCCATGTTCTCTCTTCTCTCGATGTTCGCGTGGCCTGCGAATCCCTGACGTTGATGCTGGTGATGTTCCTGGCATCGGAGGCGCTGCTGCTGGTTCATACCAAAAGTTCTGTCGCTACGTCTTGTGCGGGGCTGGTGCGTTGAGTACTTCTGGCGGAAGGTCTGGCGACATCTGGCGCCGTGACTCCACTCTCAATGACCATTGCTGACATGGTTTCGCGTTACCCGACACCATACGGTGGACCAGTCAGGTCTCTCATAGCTATGTAAAACGGCTTGCCTCGAACGGGCTGTGGCAAACCAGTGATGGCTTCTCCTACTCTGCTGGCATGTCTTGCTATACTCTTGGATTCTCTTCTTCTTCTTCTTCTTCTTCTTCTTCTTCTTCTCTGATCTGTTCTTTTGAATCTGTCTCTGCGTGTGTTTGCGTGTTGGGCGCTTGAGGTTGTTTTGCCAATCTGTGTGGCATCACATGCTGGGCATCCAAATTTCTCTAAACCTTTCTTCGCTATGTAAAGTCTTTTCGACTTTCTCTTTTCTTCAACTGGCAGTGGAGAAACTTGGGAGAAGTGCGGCTGGCTCTTCACGAACAGCCCGTGGACCGCAAGGTGCACCTGATATTGACTTGAGAAATGCGTGTTCGACTAGCCATGTCAAACAAGTGCTTCATCTGAAAGTTTCTCGCCGTTAGCTTGACTCAAGCGCTGCGCGCAGCGTGCAATGTCCTTGCCTGTCCTTAGAGTTCGAGCCGCCCGTTCAATCTCGCCTTTGGGTTCGAATCCTTTTGGGCTCTTCTCAATGATCCTTCGAAACCATTCTTAGCTGCCCCAGCGAGTGGTGTGAAGGCCGGTTCGGGATCATGCCGGACTACCACTTTCGGGTGTCAATTTCTTGATGTCGTTCCCAATTGTATGTCATCGGATCGTGAGTTCATGAAACAACAGTCTGCTAAAACGATTGGAGTAGTCTCGTCTGTATGACCTTGCTTTTCCCCGAACGACATGCTCGACACCAGGCCCTGACAGGAAAATTGGACATCAAGCGCTGTTCAATCTTCAGGTTCCTTGTCGGACGGAGCGAGTGGGATCGATGGCCTCGAGAACTGGTTTTTTTGACTGTTCTTTCTTCGCATTCTGTGCATGCTCCTTGCCACCGCTGGCACGATGCCCTGGCACAGGTGCCTTATTTCTCGGCTTGATAGGATCACTGAACTTCTCCTCATCATCTTCATCATCCCAGGCTCGAAGCCTGCCTGGGCCCTTGGCTCGCGCAATCCCGAAATAGTCCAACTCTTCTGGATAGTGGCTTCATACTCTCGCCAAGATTCAGCTCGGCTCTGGCGAGTCTGGATTAGGCTTCTCAGCACCTTGGCGACCTTTTTCTTCTTGCGTGCTGGTCATGGGCCCATGCCCGATGCCAACGCCGACACCAAAGCGGCGTGGCTGGACATCGGCCTTGGCAACAGCATTTTGGCCCTGCGCTCCTTTTCAGCATGCTGCTCTTAAAGCTCTTTCACTTCATTTTGTCGTTCCAAGACTGCCTCACTTGCAGCTTTGCCACAACCTTCGGCCTCAGCCATGGCCTTCTTGATCTGCTCACTGCTCACTCTTCTTTTCGTAAGGTTTGCGATTGGGCTGCGCGACGCCAAAAAGAAGCCAACCCCTTTCCAAACCGAGACAGGCGGACAAGGGCGTACCTTGTTCAGTGGTGGAGCCTAGCCTTTCCTCATAGGCTGGGGCCAGCCCATGAGCCGAGAGCCCGAACACAGCCCTCCAAACACAAGCAATCACCCCTAATTGCCTGTGACACTTGCAAGAACAAACCAGTTCATGAGGTGACGCCCTTCAGATCAGACCCGTGAGCGCAAATGCTCAGAAGAGTTGCTGTAGCAGGAGGACATACCAAGATGAACTCAAAAGAATCAAGGAACTAACACATGTAACAATAGGGGTATTGTCATTGTATTTTTGGACGTCCCGTATCGCTTTCCAAGGAAAATTTGAAATCACACTCTTGGATGAAACGCCCTTGTATAAAGTAAACGACAATAATTTTGAAAACGATGCATTTGCTTTCACCATCTTTCAACACTCACCGCCAGTCAGAAGGAAAGTTTGCGCCTTTTCAGAAGGGCCGAACAGAAGTGTGGTGCTGTATGGAAGCACTGAACTGCTATATGCTACAAGGGTGTCATGCTACTTTTATTGTGTGTTCCAGCACATCATGTGTCTGGAAGCAGGAGTAGCATGACGACTGACACGACGTGAAACTTATGCAGGTTTGTGAATTCCATCAGGTTTGACATGCAGGGGTTTCAGGTTCCAGTACGGCAATTTCAGAGCAGAATAAGCAATCAAGCAAAGCAGCAACAGCATGCAACAGCAATGTGTAGCATGGGCAGTCTCATCTTCAACCCAAGACTTAAGCAAATGCCAAAGGGAAGCTACTAGGGGCTCCTGACCTTACTACTAGGAGCAAGGACGCTTCGATTCTAGGGGCTCCTGGCATCGCTACTAGGAGCAAGGACGCAATTACGTTTCGTTAGGTCGGACAAGCGGCAACATTTGCGCCAGTGAAGCCTTGGCCCAAAGCTCTTGCTTTCCAAAGGCTCTGCCATTCTTGACCCAACATCACAATGGCCCACTTTGATCATCTACAACCTCGACTGATTTAACTCTGTCAGCATGACTGGCACAATGGGTCGAAACAACATAAACCAAAAAATATATATCTATACGTTAACATCATTGTAGAAACATCTAGGAACCTAATCATTGAGGCTCAGGGTTGTGCCTCCGTGCTTAAGCTGTATACTTAAGTTTTGTAGTTGGACCACGGCGGTTTTGCTGACCAATCAAGCTGTTTCAGTTTCTTGCGCAGTGGATGTTCTGGATCAACGTGCGTAATGATCGCAGTGCTCTTTGATGCATGGCGCACCGTGGACCTCGTAGTTGGAGTTACCCCTTACTTGTTAGCTTAGTGAAACCTACGTACTAGCAGCCTATCCCCCACCCCCCCGGACCTAAACAATTACTTGTATCTCTGCAACGTCGCGCCTTTGAAAAAGGCAAACGGAGTTGCTGAGGACGTCGAGAACTGAAGGACCTGCCAAGCATCGCTCCCAAACTTGTTCCAAGGAAGACTGGGTTTGAGACTTTGAGACCGACATGTCTGGATTCCTTGATTTTGACTCCGGCATCAAGCGTGACCAAGAACGTCACAAAGTCTCGAAGCGTTTCTTGCGCTGAAAGTTGAGGTTTTGAGTCTTCTCACAACTGCCAGTCAATCTTTACACGTCTTCCGGTCCACCCTGTCAACCCAACAAGTAGACAACATCATTCTTGCACTTCCTTCGGCCTTGCACTCAGCTCATGGGCCTGCAAGGCCTCTGCAAACACATGTGAGCTTCCCCCGGTTCGACTGCACGTTGCATGTGAAGGACATCTTAGCTCTCACAAACCACTGTGGATTCACGGCATTCAAAGCGTTACTTGGCACCTTTTCCCGAAGGCCAGGTCTCAGCTGCCCAAGAAGCCTGGAGACAGCACGACTATAATCCAGAACATCTGGAAACAATGTATATATATATATACATTTATAATATCATCATGTTTGAACAAAATCGAAAACACTTGCATCAACTATATATACTACGGTATATTATACTACTGTATATTTTATGGTCTATTCTTCAAACTGTCTTTTATGTCTCCAAATCGCAAAAGGCTGAGATACTGTTCCATCCTATGAGGGTGTGCCAAAAACTACAGTAGCAGCCATGCCCAGCCTGGTGAGACGCGATGCAGGCTCCATTGCAACTGCTTTCCAGGTGCGTTGTTTGGATGCTGTTGACATGAAACCACAACATGCTTTCTATAACACAATCATTTCACGCGTTGGATGTTCCTCTAAATCTCGCCGGATCTTTACCAGTTGGACATGCCACGTAATCAAACAAGCACTTGCATGTTCTTCGGTTCTTCCCTCTCTCTGTCTCTCTATAAATTTACGCACTATCATCAATCATACATGACTTTGGCCAATTTGCTTTCTTAGCGGCAGTGAGCAAACCCTTCTTTGCAAAAGGCTCCAAGAAAAATTGAGTTCTTTGGTCGAATCTGTCCAACAGGTGCAGGGGCTACAGCGTATTGTAGCATCGCGTCTAGAGTCTAGTGGCCTGATCGTTTGGCTACTGGAACAAGGGTTTAGCCGATATAGCATAGCCATCAGTTTTCCACGCAGTATACATATACTGTAGCTCACAACTTTGGTGGACTTACACAGATGCTGGCCGGAGCTGGTGCGACCCGGAATTCATGGATCGAAACATGTCCCTTTGTTGAGTGTCCGGCTTTGACCAGCTGTGATATCACTGACAGCACATTCACAAGAAATTCCCGCCCACATAGCAAAGCATCCGGGGATCACAAGCAAGCTGACTCTACTTTGAACTGCAAAGGCAACATTTGCGACAGCGTCCTGCATGTCAGTTGTTGAGCTGCTTGGTGTCTCGGAATCTTCTGGGAACCACTAAGCAATTCTGGGCGCATAAACAATTCACACCGCCAGACAACAACTGTGAGTATAAATTCGAGTTTGTGACTCATGCAAATGCGACTTCAGTCTTTAATGCTGGGCAAGAAACGGTCAATCAGGTTGAGCTCCTGCAGGTTTTCTTGCAACGAGGAGACTGCTGCAGTGTCAAGAATAGCAAAGGAAACGGACGCATTGCAGGTTCCAACCTTAGTACATAATTAGTCGCTTGATGAACAGGTTGAGAGCGCACTTGAACTCTTTTTAAGCTTTTCGTATGCCCCAAGCGGCGCATGGCCCCTTTCAATTCTTCGCTCTTCTGAGTGATTGGCTGTCTTCCAGGAGTGCAACTTTCCGAGGGCCACAACTGCCCAACGCAATCTTGACTCAGGGCATTGAATTGCAGAGGAACTGCGACACCCAAGCTCCAGCAAGCATAAGCCCAAGTCCTCAATAGTGAATTACGGATCAGTCAATCTCAGAAAAAAAAGCTATTTCACAAGCAATACGAGTACTGTATAGATCTATATAGCCAGAGCCATAGCATTGTCAGAAGATCTTTAGCTCGTCAGGATAAGACACCTGTGACTTGGACAAGTTTCAACGACTGGAATGGCACTTCTGTTAGGGGACGGCGATGGGCTCAGGACAAATACGCGCGCGTCACCCTCAGGTCCGACTGCGGAATCACCAACGAAACGAAAGCGCCGCTTCTTCAACCAATTCTTGCGGAACCATCTGTCCACCAAGCCATCGTATATGAATTGGCCACCAGAGGTGGAAAAAACCGCTTACAAGCCCCAAGCCATCTCCAGGACGGTAGCTTCCAAGCCCGCGCCGGGGATACAGAACCACTGAGGTGGAACCCAAAAGTATTGGATCTACATGGGAGCACCATTTGTAAGCACCTGGGCCCGAATCTCTATCAAAGTCCATCTCTTGCAAATCTTCTGCCAAAGCTGAGCTTGTATCTATGTGAAAATACTCTTCAAGATGTAATCTTGCGCTGGGCTGTGCTTCATCAAAGTTGGGACCACCATATTGAGCTCCGTACCTTGGATCTATACATATGTATATATATATATAGTCGAACACGGTGTGTGGAATGCAGAAAACAAGTATACTGTACTAAATCATACTATATAGTAAAACCACCAATCGCGGAATTAACGTGAAATATCTGCTCAATACCGCAAACTTAGACAACACTGACAAAACCAAAATATATACCCAAAGCATGCACAGTAATCAGAGTTACAAGCTTAAGGCCGTGCGATTCCTTTTCACCTGCAGAACATCCACCAGGAGAAACGAGCCATCTGCAGCTGAACAAGCATAGCGGATCGTGATATCCATCCAACCATCAGCACGTAAAGCACCATAGGGCACGGACTGACTCTTATCCACATTCGTGGAGGCAAGTGAAAGCTCCCCAACTGCTCTATGAAGCTGAGAAAAGTTGATTTCCTCACCGTCTTTGAAAGCTTCTCGTACAACCACTGTATTGTGTCCAGCAGGGTTGTTGTCTATGTATTCGTATCTGCGAAGATCCCATTCACCAATGGCCGTGGCAATTGTGCCATAGCCATATTCTGAAATGAGTCGCGCACCCCACGCGGACCATGTGAAGGTACCGAAGTCCACCTCAGAATGAGAGTGCGAGTTTGGGCGAGCCTGCAACGCAAGAAAGGAATACGGAATGTTATCGGCCAAAGAAGGCTCTACCTGGATGCAAATCTCAGAGATTCCACTGCCAAAGCATGGGAACACTGTGCCCGGCGGCAGCAGCGGGATTCGCATGGACGCATAGCCTCCTCGACTAAAAGTGCGCAAAATGGCTCCTCCCAGGGGCTGTGTTGCAGGAGCGCTGCAGGAGCGTAAGGTGAGTTAAGTTCAAAGACAAAAGCTCCGGACTGATCCTCCACGGGTCTTCATACAAGCCGCCACTTCCATAAAGACATGCTGAGTACTCACGCGCACCGCGCGGAGTCAGTGCTTTCGTGGCATCCACGCGTCGACCAATGATCTGAGAAGAGACTGCAGCTTGCAATGTTGAAAAATCACCCCACCCTCGCTTCTTGTGTGAATCTCCAAACGGTACAGTGTAGGCATCAGTTGACATGCTGGCCAAATGATTTCAAATGATACTTCACTATGCTGGCAACTGTATTTGCATCGATTGCGTGTGGTGCAAATCCAAAGGATGCACGCTGCATCGCAGAGATTCCAACAATCCCTGTAATTGACATGAAAGAGTACATGGCAACACCTTCAACGCACACACCATCAGAGGTGAACATGTCCCGATGCAGCCAAAGGATATCATTGATCCTGGCCAGCACCTCATAGGCAGTTTCAGGCTCTTCATGCCAAAAGCTGATCAGCCATGCCATCACAGCAATACACAGATTAGGTGTCCAATTGTTGCCGTTCCACAAGCGATGCAAATCCACTGCCACCAAAGATCTGGCTACCCTCTCTGTTTCTGTTTTTTCATTGTACTCACAAGATGCGTATGAGCCTGAGTTGCTTTCTGCGCAAGCCCATAGGCGGCGAACCAAATGAAGCACTTTTAGACCATTGGTGTAAGAAGGCGTGGAGTCACGGGAGGCTTCAAACTCCAAATAGCTCTTTGCAGGACCATACCCGGCAATGTCACCTCCATCTTTGGCAGCTTCGTAGCAGTATTGAAATCCCCTGGCCGAGATTTCGAAGTGAGCCTTTACGTCTGCTACTCCAGCAGCTCTGAACCAACCAACGTTGCGCTCACCCACTGAACACGGGGTCAAATAAAACGGTTGCGCTCTATGTGACAACCAGTGATCATTGGATCCATACAAACGCGGGTGTATCTGTGGCGGCTCCTCTGTGACTTGCAAAGGCTGACGGTAAATGAGCTCAGCATTTACAATCATGAAGGGCTTGTCCTTGAATGTATGTTCACCTTCAGTACTCCAAGCAACACTACACTTGCCACTGCTGTCACGGACTGCCTCGCGGAATGCAGGGTATTGGCTGAAAGTCAGAAATGTGACACTTAGCCATTCGTGAAAGAATTCTTACACTATGGCAATTGTTTCTGGTTTGTGTGTTCATCCGGCATGATTAAGCTTGAGTTGAGGTTGACAACTAGGGGTCATCGTGTCGCAATCAAGACAAGATATATCGAACCGCGATGCTGAGTCCAGAGTGCACCCGCCCGCAGGTTCCTGGGATTTCTCCATGCAACCTGGAGTACACGTATTGTGGTCTGCTGCTGGTCGGACTTCTTTTGCCACCACTGGTCCAGTGAGTGGTTTAGGCTTTGCGCTTGCATGCGCACAAGAAAGAGTACGTTCTCGACATGTGGTGTTTTTATGTGTTTTTCTATCAAGGGGAGGCTGTGGATGTTGTTCATTTTAGATGCCAGACAACAAGTTTTCATGGCAAACCTGTGCTGACTGAATGTCAAAACATATATAAATGTATGAACAAAGCAAGCTAACATTGACATAATCCGTGTTTCCATTTTTAGCATGTCCCTCACAGAAGGCTTTGCTAAAGGACAATGAAGGCTAAGTCGGAATGTCACAGAAAGTGATAAACAAATACGGTGTAGTTGTGCACAACAATGCTCACCAGGTGAAGCCTTTGACGCCAAAAAGATGACGCATATTCTGCAACCTCCGAGGGACCTTAATTTGCAAGTTGGAGAACATCCAGTTGTCAAGTCCTCAAGCTTTGATTCCGAGCCTTTGGTGCAGAGGCTGCAGTTGTATTGGGTCTCATTGAGGCAACTATTTCCTCCGTAGAGTTCAGGGCGATATCTCGAGTCTAAAGAAAAGCGCAGGGTGATGTTTCCTGCACCATTTGGCACTGCCTTAGTTATATGTGAACAAGAAGCATGAGATAGCACGAGCTTCCCATGAATTGGGCGTTTGCTGGCCAGCCCATGCCAGCTCCACCTCTGACCCTGTCATGCCCTCTTTAATTATTATGTTTTCAGAATGGCTGCCCCTGTTGTCATTTCATGTCGTTTCTGCTGTTTTCAAAATATTGTATATTTACATGCGCATACACATATGTTACACGATTAACTAATGTGTTTTCAACTCTTCATTATCCGTGTTAGTGTCTGTGTTGCAACCATGTTGCGGGAAAAGCGAATTGAGCCCAGGTTGGAACCGCTAAAGCAGGTGCCCAAAATGTGCCAATGCGTCCACCCAATTGAATGCTGGAGGCCGTGGAATGGTAGGAGCCGCGGCAAATTGCGGAACCTACTGCCGAGCAATCTCTCCAAA